GTCCTCCGCCCGCTCCGTAACCTGGATGGCCTGGGGTGGCCACGGGGACCCGGCGAGCCCGGGCCAGAGCGGCTCGAGGCCGGCAACAGGTCAACGTCCCCCGGGGGCACACAGATCCGCAGGAGTGGAAGCGGCCGCAGCCCGGGACCCCCGATCCCGCCTCCCACTCACCAGCTGCGCGCCTTTGAGGATGAGCCGGGGCAGCGGGAGCCGGCTCAGAGAGCAGCAGGCGCCCTGGCCGCCCCTGGCCGCGCCCGGGCGCTCCTCGGTGGTGGCGCGGTACACTCTGTTCTCCATCGCCGGGGCCCGGGAGCGCAGCGGCCGCAGATGTGGCGTCGCGGACTTTCCCGATTCGAGACAAATCGGGGACCAGCGCGCCGTCACTTCCGCGTCCCCTCCGCCCCTTGTTTCCGGCAGGACCCGCCCCATCCGTGATAGCCACGCCCATCCGCGAGAGCCACGCCCCATCCCAGCCCGCCTCCGCCCTACGCCAGCCTGTTTTCGTGTTAGTCCCGCCCAGCCTCTTTGTTAACCCCGCTCTGCTCACGTTGGCCACGCCCCATTGCAGCCCACCTCCGCGTTAGTCCCACGCAGCCTCCGCGTTAACCCCGCCCTGCTCGTGCTAGCCACGCCCTATCCCACCCCTCCTCCGGGTTAGTCCCGCCCAGCCTCCGCTTCAACCCTGCCCTGCTCGCGTTAGCCACGCCTCATCCCAGCCTGCTTCCACCTCGTTAGTCCTGCCCGGACTCAGCATTAACTCCGCCCTGGCCGCGCTAGCCACATCCCACCCTGCCCCGCCTCCGCGTTGGTCACGCCCTGCCTCCGTACTAACCCCGCCCTATTCGCAGTAGCCCCACCCCTCCGACACTAGCTCCACCCTCTCCCCGCCTCCACTCTAGCCCCGCCCTGCTCCCCTTCCCGCCCTGGAGACTCCGGTAAGTTAGGCATTTAAGATCTCTCCTTGGACATCTGAATATCTGTTTCTTTCTCACTTCCCTCAATATTCCATCACCCGTACATTCATTTATTTGCTCAATCCTTGAGTGCACGCTCTGTTCTAGGAGTAGTCCCGGCGCTCAGGGAGTCAACACTTGGATACGATGGAATTTGTTATTTACCTGTCTACTGCTCGCCCATCTTCTGTACTGGAGTGTCCCATAATTTAACGTGCGAACTTTACGTAAACTCATCAAGCACTGGAGTCACTAGAGATGTATGGATGGACAGGTGCAGACCGCACGGGCTCACAGCGAATAACACCAAAATGATTGGCTGTAAAACTTTGCCATTTCAGCAGGAATTTATTCTTGACACCTCAGTATCTCACTCATTCACCCCTCTCTCCACGCAGTCCTGGGAGATTTGCACTTTTTTTATTCTCAGTAGAGCTCTCAACCCAGAGCAAGGGCTACCGCCAGGTGCCAAACCCCGAAGCCTTTGGGAAAGGAGTCTCAGTGCCTGGTGTTATCTCCTGCCATCTCTTCCGCACCTGGTTCCTGCCGGAGGCAGGAAGGCCTACCAGGTGTGCGATATCAACAGACCCAGGATCTGGGCGGGATTGCCGGGGGCATTCTCCCAGGCGCGCGGGACCCCGCTCGCAGGAGCTCTCGGCGGAAGCCTAGGGCGTGGCGCGCAAGGACCCGGCCCCCCGCGCTCATGGAACTGGGGCGTGGGAGTGCGCAGGGGGGACACATGGAGCACAGAAGGGCCAGAG